CTTTCCATTTAAAGCAGAACAAAATATGAACATTTTAGGGGTAACCAATAGTGGGTTAATTGGTCAGTCTGAAGCCCCCGATCCTACAAAAATGGAACTGAATTTTTTTTATTGGCTCAACGGCACGCGGGTTAAAGCCGTGTACCAGTAAGCCCTCTGTGTAGCAGGTGAGCAACAGACCTTCACTGGAAATTGCACATGAATAGTGTGTGCACGCAAAAGTAACATTGTCTCTCACTTATTTTCCTCAACTTTGCAGGATTTTTTGGTTCGTTTGGAAATTCCTAAATCCCCCAGACGGATTGATAAGGCCTCAAAGAACTTGCACACATGAAAAACTAGTTTCTTCAACAAGGTAAACCAAGTGCAAATTAAGAACTAAATTTGTGGTTGTTTTGTACACAACTTTTATACCCTGGACGTCAGTCGTAATGAAATGAAGACAACGTCCAACATTGTGCATTGCAACAGAAGCTATTGAATGTGTGACGTCATCTCACAGAACATGTGACAAACTCTGAACACTGATTAATTGATTCTCCATATTAACTGTTCTCACGTTCATTTGATGGAAAAAATTTACCTTTTAGTTGATTATAAAGAAATATTGTTGGCTATTTAGGCAATTCAATAAATATGATGGGAAATGCATAAGAGCGCCACTGTAAGGTTGCTACGCGACAACATTCGAACCCAAAAGAATTCTTAGACGCATATAAAAAGCTGAGCGTAACGTGTTCACTTTAGTTGCCGCAATAAGTTGTGTTACTCGACATTAGTTAAGAAACTTTCTTTGTTTTCTGATTTATTTAAGATCTCCAAAGTACCGTACATTTTCTGTCCATCAGGTCTTGCTTATTAATAAATTAGACCCTTTCCAGATTGATGATGAATTAATTTTGGACGACATCTGTCACTGTATAATTAATATCTGTTAAATATTATTATTTCTTGAAGCTTTCCATGTATGATGTGATAAACTTCAAGAATGTGATGACGTATTTAGCAAAGACTCCGGTTGCATTGTAGGAGCATATTTCAGGCCTTGAATTCCGTAATTTTCAGGGCAAGGCCACTTTGGCCTTGTATGAAGCAAAATTTTCCGGAGTAATTGCAGTAGGGGCTGGTTACTGATGTAGTAGATGAAGTTA